CAAGGTAAGACATTTGAAAGAAATAATTTAAAAGACCAGTTGGACGAGTGGACAGAGCAGGGGGTCATTGAATCTGATAATAAATTTATATATAGATTAGGTCTCTAGGGGGGGCCTAAGGGTTGTCCCCCCCCCCACTACGCCCCTGGGTATGTCTAGAGGGGTTAGGGGGTGCATGTCTAGGGGGTACACAGGGTTCTCGCCCCCCCCCCCCCACTACGCCACTGAGACTCACAAGAATTTTTGTATATCAAAATAGCATGGTTGAAATTATGCCGTTATCTTTAAATACAAAAAAGTTACACAACTTTGAAGTTTTCGAGGGCAGCCTAGAGGTTGAAACTTTGGAGGCTAACAACTAACAAACCAGAGGTCACTTAGCTTTTTATTTTCTGTTTCCCTTACATAGTTAACAAAAGATTTTAATTTTATCCGAATCTGTGATGGCGACTTCCGTGGGGTGGCTGAGATAAGAGAATGACCCTATTGGATCCTTAAAGCTATAATTGTAGATTGCGCAGGTTAATTCTGGTTGTCATCTCCAAGATAAGCATGTGTCATCTCCAATTAAAACCTGTGTTATCTTTAAAAGGATTCTATATCATCTCCAAGATTAACCGGTGTCATCCCCAACTAAAAGCTGTGTCATCTCCAAGAGGATTTTGTGGTGTTTCCAAGATTAACATCTATCATCTCCTGTGTCATTTTCAAGAGGATCCAAGATTACCCTCTCTCATCACTTAGAGGATTCTGTGTCATTTCCATGATTAACCTGTGTCATATCCCTGTTTCATCTACAACTTTAAAAAGCTGCAGTCATCTTCTTATGCCAACTTCAAACATGCCTGTCTTATCACATAGTTTGTGTCATCTCCAATAGGATACTGAGAGTTCTCCAAATCAGATTCTGTGTCATCTCCAAATATTCTTGTCATAACTTCAAAAATATCTAAAAGGATCCTCTGCTATTTTAAATTAAAGAGTATTCAGTGACATTTCCAACCTACCAGTCTTATCTCCAAGATTATCTACAAGATTAATCAGTTTCATTTCTGATTAAATTACCTGTGTCATCTTCAAGGTGATCCTTTGTCATCTCCAGTAAAGCCTGTCTCATTTCCAACAGGAAGCTGTGTCATCTCCATAAGGTATCTGTTTTATATCATCAGGGCTTTTGACAGGGGGGGGGGGGTTTAGAAAGAAAGTAGGGTTTCCACCGGAATTCCGGGTTACAGTATACGTACGGAAATGATCCGGAAATTTTTTCCATTTCCATTATGGAAAAGGTTCCGGAAAACCGGAATTCCAGAACAATTTCCGGAACGATTTTTTTTCCGTAAAACGGAAATTTCCGGAACGTTGTTCCGGAATTCCGGAACTTTCCAGAATATCATTCCGGAAATTTCCGATTTCCGGAACATTTGGTACCAGAATTACATTAAAGTCTTACATATGTAATTACAACACCAGTTAGTAACTATAACAATATATGGATGGATGCCGGACGGTAGAAAAAGTTATACTCAATAATCAATATTCAAAGTTACTATAGTGTGAAATGTAACTGATAAACCGAACGAAATCGGAAACTGGAAATTTTACGGTTTCCATTCCGTAAAACGGAAATTTTTCCGGTTTACGTGACGTAAACCGGAAAATTTCCGGTTTCCATTTATACCGGAATTATCCCGGAATTCCGGTTTACGCAACAAATTTCCGGATCATTCCATTTCCAAAATGGAAATTTTTTTCCGAAAAAATGGAAACCCTAAAAGAAAGTCATCCTAAATATTAAGTATTTGGAAAAACAGTGCTTAAAATAAAAAAAATTAACAGAAAAAAGGTCCGAAATCTACCGAAGTCCTTAAAAAATAAGTCATGGGAAATAATACTTTTGGAGCTTATAAAATTGTCAATTTTTGATCTACTTGCCTAAAATAAACTGGAAATTGTACGTAGATATCAAAAATGGTCTCAATTTTGGAAATCTGTAGGCCCTTTTACAAAATTCAAATGGAGATTATCTTTATTTTTACCAAATGTACTCACTCCAATTGGAAACTTTAGGAGCCTAAAATTGAGCTCATTGAATTGAGCATTTTATGTAGATTTTTAAAATGATCTAAATGTTGAAACAATATTAACAATGCAGACTATATTTACAAAATACGGACATTGAAACTAACAAAACATTAATTTATTCCTAATTGATAAGGTTTACTAAAAATTGAATTAGATATATAAATAATATTTGTGTTTTATTTCTCCCACATCGATTCTATTAAAAAATACTTGAACATTTGAACATTCTAGCCGTCCAAGGGAAAAGAAAACTTTTTTCTAAATTGAAGATATCACATCAGAAATATACATATTTACAGGTAAAAATGCGTACATTTTTTAGCCCTGACACTTCGAAAAACTTCTTGGTATAAAATATATACGTATTTATAAGAAAAAAAAGTATTTTTAAAACCTTGAACAATAATTGTTTTCAAAAACTATCGGAAAATTACGATAGTTTTTATAAGTTTCATTTTGAACTTTACAAATTACAAAACTATCTGACATAAGTTTTTGGAAACAAACGAATTGTTAAAACTAACTCAGTGTCGATCAGTGTTAGTTTTAAGTTAATTGAAAAACGATCGTCCCGTAAAATTATAGTTTTCAATTATCGATCATTTTCAAAAATGGAAAAACGATAGTTCTGAAAACGATCGTAATCCAGCGTAACTAGAACAAACATAACCAAATCCAGCAGGGGCGTACGAGGGCTTTTGTTTAGGGGGGGGGGCACAATTTGCGCGCGTGAGCGCGCCAAAAATTTTTTTTGGTCCCCACCTTGGCAACATTGGTCCCCCCCCCTTAAAAACCCCTTTTTTGAAAAAATATTAATACATTTTTTAAATTTTTTTCCCCCCCTCTCCCACCTGGACTTAATTTGTTCACCATAAAAATACACCAAAAAGACTACTTTTTTGGGTGTTACTAACCTTAGAGTCTAAAAATTATTCCTTTGCTTGAAAAACTAACTTTTTGACTTTATAAATTTATCACTTAACTCCATCACAGCTAACTAAATCAATAATCACAGCATCATTAAAAATTATATTTTTACGAATAAACGAAATTTCTTCTGAAATTTTTAGATAGAATTTACTCAATCTACATTTTAACCAAATCTTTTAAGCTACAATTTTCTGGGATTTGCTTGCACAAACATTTCAATGATTTTTT